ATTAGCTGTAACAGCTAGTAAATTACACGAGTAAATTAGCTGTCAATTTACCAGTTTCTCAGTGACTCTCTCTGGATGTTTTTCATATCTTCTCATTGTCTTGGTGTTCTTCAATTTGACTACAAAGAGACTATGTGCATATTTCTTTTTATTTATCTTGATCAGGATTTGGTGAATTTGCTATCTCTGAGATTTGTGATTTACCAATTCTGGAAAGTTCTCAGTCATTCAGATGCCTCTTCCTCATTCTCACTACTACTTCCTTCTGGAAATCTGATTATATGTGTTAGATCTCATTACTGTATTCCCTGTGGCTCTTGAATGTTTTTCTATACTTTGTTTCTCTGCACCACATCCTGTCCAATTTCTGCTGCTCAGTCTTATAGTTCACTGGACTCTTCTATGTCTAATCTCTCACTATTCATGTTATGCACTTTTTTATTTCACCAGCTTGATTTTTCATTTCCAGAGGTTCTATTGTTTTCAATTCTACACAATTACTAGTCTCCTTCTTTACTATGTTATTAATTTATTCTTATTTTCCTAATCACATCAAACAAAATTATTTATTCTATATACAAATAATAAAGTCCAAGGGGTGAAATTCTGCCTTTATTTCTGCCGACTTGTTTCCTCAAACGTTTAATTTTTCACTGTATGCTAATAACTGCTGCTCTATACCTGTGGGAATTTTGAGGGTTTTAGATTGAAAATTTTTCCACCACTAAAAAGGTTTATATAAATCTGCCAAGCAGCCTGGGAAACCACTAATGGGAGACCATTTTACTTCCTGGTTTGAGGTTTCTAAGACTACATAGGTGGTATATATTTGAATTCCCAACTCATATATGGGCAAGACTGTGGCTACAAATTCTCAAAGGAAATTTCTCTTTCCTCTCCCCCATCACCTCATAAACAAGGTCAAGGCAGACTATCCTGACATCTCCCTTTGTTGTTGGACAGATTTTTCTGTTAAGCCTTCTCATTTCACTGATTATAGAGACTTCAGGAGCCAAGCCACAGGCAGGGATCTGTTTTAATTCCTTCCTTTACAGACCCAAGATCTGATCTTTCTTTTCCTATCTGACCATTAAAATTCCTGTGGGCTCTAGGTTCCAAGTATATGATAAGTGCTTTCTGAAAGTGAAGATATGAGAGCTAGCTTATCACTTTGGATTGCTCCTTCTAACTACTTTTTTTCCCCTTAACCTGCCAACTTCCCTGTGGAATCTGCTCATTTTAAACAGTGTCTGCTGTATTTGGTGAAACATTTTGAAGGTTCTCTGTCTTTCATTTCCAGGCAGGAAGGAAGGAAATCCTAAGAGTCCTTTCATTTGTTTCAAGCTATGACACAGAAGCCTAAGGAGTTGGGACACTTTCTGACCACCCTGAATGGCATTACGGAGAAGCATGTGACCTTTAGTACTAGACTGTGTAAACAAGACATGTAAAATTTAGGGTGACGTAAAGTTAGTCACTTAGAAATTTTAGTTAAGAACATGTTCTCTGCCGGCAGTGATCTGGTGAGCTCTGGAGCAATTAAGAAAAGAAAGGGATTTGTTCATAAAAGTAAGCTAGTTTGGAAGAACTGTCAGACACTAAAGTTCAAACTAATTTGCTTTTGGTGTACCTCGTTTACTGTGCATTGCTTTATCCACTTTGTAGATACAGCATTCCTAAAAAATTGAAGGCTTGTGGCAACCCTGCATAGAACAGGTCTACTGGGGCCATTTTTCCAACAGCATTGGCTCACTTCAGGTTTCTGGGTCACATTTTGGTAATTCTGGCAATATTTCAGAGTTTTTTTCATCATTATTATATTTGTTATGGTGATCTGTGATCAGTGATCTGATGTTACCACTGTAATTATTTGGGGGCATCATGAACTGCACACCCGTGTAAGATTGCAAATTTAATCTATAAATGTGTATGATTTGACTGTTCCATGGACTGGCCATTTCCCTCTCTCTTCCTCTCCTTGGGCATCTCTATTCCCTGAGACACAACAATTTGATATTAGGCCCATGAACATAACCCTACAATGGCCTTGAAGTGTTCAAGTGAAAGGATGAGTTCCACGACCCTCATTTTAAATCAAAAGCTAGAAATGATTAGGCTTAGTGAGGAAGGCATGACAAAAGACAAGATAGACTGAAAGCTAAGTTTTCTATATCAAACAGTATGGAGATGTACAAGATTCATGCTGTTTTCAGGCCTGCTAACACAACATCTAGGCTTCTCTTGCGGCTCAGTGGTAAAGAAAGTGCCTGCCAAGAAAAAGACGCAGGTTTGATCCCTGGGACAGGAAGATCCCCTGAGGAAGAAATGGCAACCCCCTCCCTGGTTCTTGCCTGGAGAATTCCATGGGCAGAGCCTGGTGGGCTACAGTCCCTGGGGCCACAGAGTCAGACACGAGTGAGTGACTAAACAACAGCACAACACCCACTCTGTGGCCTGTGGATCAAAGAGTCATTTTGACTCTCAAGTCTTATTATTTAAGAAATATATTTTATAAGGCTATACAGGTGCCATAGATAGTGAGTCTCTTGATGGATCTTGGCAAAGCAACTGAAAACCTTCTGGAAAGGAGTAACTATTCTAGATGCCACCAAGAACATTCACGATTCATGGGAAGAGGTCAAAATACAAACTTAAAGAGGAGTTTTGGAAGAAGTTGACTCTAACCCTCACAGATACTCTGAGGGGTTCAAGACTATGGTGGAGTAAGTAACTGCAGATGTGGTGGACACAACTGGAGAACTAGAATTAGAAGTGAAGCCTGAAAATGTGACTGAGCTGCTACAATTTCATCACGAAACTTGATAGGTGAGGAGTTGATTCTTATGGATGAGCACAAAAAGTGGTTTCCTGAGATGGAACCTACTCCTAATGTAGATGAAGGTTATTGAAATGACAACAAAGGATTTAGAATATTATATAAACTCAGTTGATAAAGTAGCAGCAGCAGTGTTTGAGAGGACTGACTGATTTTGAAAGAAGTTCTACTGTGGGTAAAATGCTATCAAACAGGTCTATATAATACAGTAAAAACATTCATGAAAGGAAGAACCAATCAATGTGGCAAATTCCATTGTGGTCTTAAGAAACTACATAGCTGCCCCCAACTACAGGAACCAACCACCACCTGATAAGTCAGCAGCTATCAACATCGAGGCAAGACACTCCACCAGCAAAAAGATTACGACTTGCTGAAGGTTCAGATGATGGTTAGCTTTTTTTTTCCCAGTAACAAAGTTGTAGGGAAAGAGCAAATTAGCCAAGATGGCATGGTCAGGCTCTCTCACCCCATGGCCTCTCACTCTTGCCCTACGTTTTGTAAATAATGATCATGTAATAGCTGAGATCACTTTCAGCACTGCAGATGAGCATCACGACGTGCTCCCTTGGTCACGGGCCACCGTGTGTGGTACGCCTGTATGAGTTTCACCCTGAAAGCCCTGGCTGAAGCAGCACTAAGGCTACACTGGAATGACATCATGACCGTGCTGTACAAGGTTATATAATGGTTCTGTTATGGCTACGTTATGGCTATGTTGTGGCTGCTGTATTAGCCAGGAAAGAGGCCGTGTTATGGCTGCTGTCCCAGCCAGGAGAGAATAAACGTGTCTGCACCTCTTATAGCTCCTCAAATCTCCTTCCAGCCTCGGAGTTTCTGCCTTGCCTACCCTGGGTTCAGCAAACAGTATGAACAGCAAGACAACTGGCATCACAAACAGGATGAGCAATACAAAAGTGTTTTTCAATTAAGCTATGTACATTGTTTTTGCAGACATACTGCTATTGCACATTTAATATAGTAGAGGGTAAATATAACTTTTATATGCACTGGGAAACAAAAAAATTCATGTGACTTCCTTTACTGTGGTATCGGCTTTATTGTGGAGGTGTGAAACTGAACTTGCAATACTTCTGAAGTTTGCCTATATACGTGTATCGCTTATTTGTTTTGTAGTAGTATTAGTAGAAAGAAAAAAGCCTTTTTGAGTATCTGCTACACTGCTATCATGCTAATTTTACTCATATGAATTATTTCCCTATCAATCTTTGCACAGATTAAAAAAAAAAAAAACTTGAGGTTCAGCTATAGAAAGGGCCATCGTTATGTCACCGTCAACAGACCATGGAACATGAGTTCAAATCTAGGTAAGCTGATGCTATTTTTACACAGCAAATGGAGGCCTCCATCAATAAAGCCTAGAAATACAAAACTCACTTAACTACATAAATAGTAGCAGAGTCAGGTCAAACAAGCCAATTTACTCCTACTTTGGATGTTAAAATCAAGAGTTGTTCAAAAGAAATGACTCCATTCCATTCATAGTAAAGGACTTCTGACACTCCTACTTCATGTTGAAACTCTGCAAAGGGCATTATTCTAAAAGAAGCTTAGGAGTAAAGAGATGCTCTCCAACACTGTGCTGATTGCAGAGTGGCAGTTGTCAAGGAAAGGGCAAGAAATGGGTTTTTTAAAAGTGTACTTTAAAATCAGAATATGGTTGTCTATGATAAATAGTCAAGGAATGAGAGATAAAGATGGGAAGGAAAATTTCACTATATAACTTTTTATATTTTCTGATTTTTGAGTCACGGGAATACAATCACATATTCAAACAATTACACTCTAGGAAACTAGTCTAAAAGTCAACTCTAATCAAGTGTTCAAGCTACTGTATGTAATGAGACTGGTTACATAGAGCCTTGTAACAAAAGCTAACAAAACCCGAGTAAACAAAGTCCTCTCACTTCCATTTTGTTTATTCCCCACACTATGAAAGTTCTCTCAAAACAGTCAAATTTTTCAGGTAAAGTCACTGTTTCATTCTAAAGAACTAAAGAAAAACTTTTATAGTGGCCGGACTAGGAGGCAAGTGAAATGAGAACAATTTAATGATTTATTTAAATATATTTGCTGAAATCCCTCTAAAAGATAGTCCACCTGTGTCAAACACCAATGTCAGTTTAGCCCTGGATCCACGTACCTTTAGGAAGAGCAGGTTTCATGGCCATCCTGCCCACCAGGCATTCTTTCAGCATGGATTCATAGTTGACCCAACGATGAACCTGGCGTGGGAGAAAAGTAACATGAAAGCAACATGACTCCAACTCCATGAGATGCTACCATTTTTTTCTGATCAAAACTAGACATTCTTACACTGCTCTGAAAAACTAAAAAGCAGGTTCAATTAGCCAACAAGGGAGGGACAGAATGAGAGCATATGCAGGGATGGTTTAGAAAAATGTTCTCCAGGTGTTGTCTATAGACCTCTGGAGAATCCTGATGCCCAGACACCCATGAGGTCTTGACTAGCATCAATATTGGGTTGATTAAAATGTTCATTTGGGTTTTTCCATAATGTCTTATGGGAAAACCTGAATGAACTTTTTGGCCAATTCAGTAACACTAAGATGTTATTTACCTTTTTCACTGTGTTGACATTTGCAACGGTTTTTGAAAAAGCAATGTGGGTAAAACTGCATCTTAGCACATATCAAGGCAGTGGTCTCAATCATGATATTCTTTACCTCAGACTCACGGGGGTGGGAGAAATGGTTTCATTTGAGACCATCCTTCCTGAAGTAGAAAAAACAACTTTCTTAAACCTGAACCCTTGGTTTTAGGACTTTTTTAATATGCTGTGTAACAAATGGGAAGTTCTCAAAAACATTTATGCTACTATGTAAGATGGTTGCCCTGAGCAAAAACCTAGGCAATTGTTTGATTTGCACATCAAACTGTGTTTTTTCTTGAAAAGTTGTTCATAAGTAAAAAAAAAAAATCAATGACCTATAAACTAGTTACTTGGACTTGGGTATCTGATAGACATTTTCTTCAAAATGAACAAAGTGAGATTGTCCCCTCAAGGAAAACAACTGACAGTATTTGTTGCCAGACTTACAAATGGGAATTAACTTTAAACAACCTTTCTGGAGGACAGCTTCTCAATATACGCTAGCCTTAAAATATGCAACTCTTCTATTCAGTAATTCAGGAATTTACCGAAAATATTTACATATACAGAAATATCCAGGCACCAGGATACTCATCATAGCACTATTTATATTAGAAAAATATTGGGAACAATCCAAAAAACCAACTGTAAAACATAATAATGGAAAGTCATAATATATTATTCAATAAATGCTATAATCATTAAAATAATCAGGTCAAATAATACTGACACCAGAATCTTTATGTATGTTTCCTGAGTATATAAATTTACACTAAAATAGAAAATATGTAAAAAAATATATATAATTATAAATGGGCAGTCACTAATATAAATTGAAATTTTATTTACCAAATATTTATGGAGTATCCAGTTATGTGTAAAGTACCATCCATCTCTGGGGCTACGTAGAATTTTAACAGATAGATGAAGGAGAAAGATATTCAAAGAGGCAAAGGTACAGGGTTTGTTAAAACTAGTGATTCGCTCAAAGCAATTCAGTTTGCTCAAAGCAAGTTGCCTGTTGAGAATATTTACCTTGATATATTATTTTTAGGCCCTCAAAAGCCAGACTAATGACCTTAAATGTATTATACTGTGTGAAATGGAATATCTCCTGCCACATCAAAAAAGATGAAATAGCCATCAGAGATTTCAGGCCTCCAAATGTGAATTTCTGAGCCTAGAGAGCCCCCAAGAGGAAGAAAAATGCCTGCTATGAAGCAGCTGTTAGCCAAGGAACTTAAGGCTGTCACAGGCATCAGCCATTGCATCCCTCCAAAGTAAGCCAGTGGGCCCTAAGGGAATTCAGAAAGGAGAATACTTGTTTATCAGGCTACAGCCACTCTCTACAGATGAGGGGTAGGGGGTGTAAAAACAGATGGGCGCAGGATGTTGGCCCTAGATAGCTAAGAAACAAGTGAAAGACAGGATTTCAGTAAGCCGTGAGGCTAGTATCTTCCATTTTGCTCAGTCATGTCCTACTCTTTGCGACCCCATGGACCGCAGCACTCCAGGTCTCTCTGTTTTTCACTATCTTCTGTAGCTTGCTCAAACTCAAGTCCATTGAGTTGGTGGTGCCACCCAATCATCTCATCCTCTGTCATTCCCATCTCCTCCTGCCTTCAATCTTTCCCAGTATCAGGGTCCTTTCTAATGAGTCAGTTCTTTGCATCAGGTGGCCAAAGTATTGAAGCTTCAGCCTCAGCATCAGTCCTTCCAATGAATATTAAGGATTGATTGGTTTGATCTCCTTGCAGTCCAAGGGACTCTCAAGAGTCTTCTCCAACACCACAGTTCAAAAGCATCAACTCTTAGGCATTCAGCCTTCTTTATGGTCCAACTCTCACAACCATACATGACCACTGGAAAAACCATAGCCTTGACCAGACGGACCTTTGTTGGCAAAGTAATGTCTCTGCTTTTTAATATGCTATCTAGGTTCATCATCGCTTCTCTTCCAAGGAACAAGTGTCTTTTAATTTTGTGTCTGCAGTCACCATCTGCAGTGATTTTAGAATCAAAGAAAATAAAGTCTGTCACTGTCCCATGTATTGAAGAGCACTACATTCCTTAGTTTGAGATACCTGGCTTTCCTTAATTAACAATAATCTTTCACGTTCAAACTATCTGCCCCCTTTGCTGCACACTTTTTATAAAATCTGATTCCTTCCCCGCCTCCTTGGAGCAGTTTCTGAGAGCTACTTGAGATGTCGCCTCTGGGACTGAAGCCTAAGAACTCTCAGTTTTCAGGTTGTGACTATTTTTCAGTCGACAACTGCCAATGGTGAGCCTTTGAGAGCTGCAGAGCAAGGTTCTAAGACAACTGCCTCTCAGAATACTATTTCAGATGTCATGTTCTGTAAACGGTGCTGAAAGGTAAAGGTATCAGGGCAGTATTAAAATACTAGGTGAGAGAGGGTGATGATGACCTGACTAGAGGCAGTGGGGAGAGAGAAAAGGTGCAATATTTAAAGGCAGAACCACAGAATTTCACCAGCAATTGGATATTGGGGCATGTTTGTTACCAAGAGTGTTGCCCCAGAATCATAACCCTGCCTCTCCCTCATGTGGAAACTAACTACCCTTATCTGAGTTTCTGGCCCAATTAGGAAAGGACGAAGCTGCTCCTAAAGCATCGGTTAGAACCAACTAGGCCCAGATGGCAGAAGACCTGCTGAATTCCAGTGGACTGAGCCCTCTTTATGCGTCCATCGTAACACATTAGCATGCTAAGGGACACATCCCCCAGTGCCACAACAGGTGACAGTTGTCATGACAACAACCATAAGAACCCCAAAAAGGACGGAAAAGGAGTGTTGCCTCAGTTCTGGGTCCAAACCACACCCCTGTTTCAGAAAAGTCATTAATATTCTCCCGCTCTTTACCGAATTCCCTCCATTTTACCTCAATCTTCTATATATATGTGGTGTCTCAGTCTGAGCAGGGTTGAGAAATTGATCTGCGAACTAGTTCTTGCTTCTCCATCCTTTGACCACTGAATAAAGCTTGTGCTGTTTCAGTCTCAACACTGGTTTTGTCATTGGTTGTACGAATCCAAGCAAAAAAAATAAACCTCCTGGTTGAGACAAGGGGTCTCGGCCTAGGCTGAGACTTGGGCACAAGTCCAGGTGACCGATTCAGTAACACAATGAGAGAAGGCAAAGATTACCCAAGTGGTTTCAAGTTCTCATTTCAAGAAACAGGAAACAGAGGAGGGAAAAAAGGGAAGAAGACTATGAGCTGATGTTATCTGAGGGTGCACTGAGCTCCAGTGTCAGCAGGTTAGCACACTGTCCGTCCGACAACTGGAGATACTAAACAAGTAATCAGAAGTGAGAAAAAAACTAGACAGAAGTCTGACAGCAAAGAGATCACTTAACACTCTCTGTACAACTCAAATACTAGATATTAAAGATACAAGGAGTTTCACTATCGTTTGTAGAATGTAAAGTTTCCTTTTGTGGTGAGGAAAAGTCACAAACAAACATCAGTGGTCTTATTAAAGCCAAGGGGAATGTAGCAATCTGGTAACTGGTGTGGACAGAGAATGCAGCCTGCCATTTAAATAAACAAGGATCTTGTAGCCATAAAGCGATCAACCACGACAGCTGCCTGCTATGGGGCGCCCTAAGGGGAATTCAGGCTCCTCTGGTCGCTCAGCTGGTAAAGAATCCACGTGAAATACAGGAGACCTGGGCTGGGAAGATCCCCTGGAGAAGGAGATGGCAGCCCAGTCCAGTATTGCCTGGGGGATCCCATGCACAGAGGAGCCTGGTGGGCTACAGTCCATAGGAGTAGCAAGAGAGTCAGACATGACTTAGTGACTAAACCATCACAACCCACCCAGGGGCCAGGACAGAGAAAAAAGAGGATACTGGCTCTAGAGAGTTAAGGGGACATCAAAGGAGTAATTGATCTTCCTACAAATAGAAAAACACTAAAATCATTAACTTGAGAGGTTTTCCTTTTGTGATTAGTAATAATCTTTTGATATTCAATTGATGTTTTTCTTTTTTTCCAGCAAAAATTCCTATAAGTCCTGGTTTCTCCCTTACCTCTTTAGGAAGAGCTTCTCAAAGTTATCTGACAGGCTGCTTCTGGACTATAGTTCTCAGTAATGCCCTGAATAAAACAAAATTCTCAACTTTCAGGTTGTGCTTTTTTTCCCCGTCAACAAAAGGATTGTAGAAACTGCTAAAGAACTCAACAGTATCGCACTTCTTATTACTTCCCCCCAAACAAGCTTAAATAAGGTCCTTATAATCACATGACACTAAGAATATAAACAGGACTAGATGTTAACTGGAAATTCATCTATGGAAGAGTACATTCAGCATCAAGAGGTTACAGGACCCAACTAAAAATTGTGTCTTGCCATCTGCCTCTACAAACATGAGGTCACTAGCCCCTGCAGCCACTGACCTTCAACATACCCTGAAACGAATTCAGGGCACAAATCAAGAATGAGACACTCTGTGTTCTGGTAAAAACTGGCAAAAAAGGCCTTCAGAGAGTTGGACATTTTCAGGAGAAGATTTTATGAGCCCAGATGCTTACATCTTCTCACACTTAGAAAAGCACTGAAATCACTGAGAGTGACATCCACTCTTTGTGACTAGCAGCAAGCCTCTGCCAAAATATGAGCCTGACTGCACTAACCCCACTTCACTAAATCATATGACCTCTCTCCTAACCCCACTGGAGCAGTTTCTCAGAGCTCTCTGAAATGCTGTCCCCCAGGCTACAGTTTTCATTTCACCACCAATAAAACTTAATCACAATTCTCACATTGTTCTTTTTTTTTTTTTCCAGTTGACACACAGGAGAGATGAAAATCTGGTAGATAAATCTTTCTGGCAAATGTTCCCAAACTTTTCTATTTCACTTGCATTGCTAGCAGACAACCAATACCAAATTACAATGGGCATTTACCTTAAATTAGCAATAAGAGCCTTCCAAGGAGAATCCTAATATCACCGATGAGCAAAAATGACTTTTCTCCAAACCAGTCAAAACATTAATAGCAAATGATATTCAGCTATTTAAGCAGGTGCGTGTGAGTATATTAAAATACAAAACAAACTGTATTTCTGGTAGCCTGGTGAAAAAATAAATCTCCAAATGGATAAGAAGATAAGAGGAACAGAAATTAATCTGTTCAGAAGGCAACTCTAAAAATAACTTGACTGGTTCAGGTATCTCAACTGGTAAAGGCCAGTACTACGTGAACTTTATTTATTTACTAACAATGTGGTTATTAATCATCACTAAAATACAAAATAAAGCATTTGTTAAGACGAAGGCAAATTTCTATTCCTATCAAGATAGTTGTTTCAAAATAACAATTCAGCCAATTGATAGTAGTTATCAAATATTACATAATTTTTAAATAGTATAAGAAATAATCACTCTTTTAAATAAATATAAGGGGGAAAAGTGACTCATTTAAATATCTTTTGATATATACAGAACCTCTGCTATCACTATAGGAAAAATGTTTCCTATTCATTAATGATCTTTCTGTATAACATACAGATTGAGCTGAGCAAAACAGGCTGATTATGTAACAATCCCAAACAAGAAAAGACTAAGAGCCAAGAAGCTAAGTGACCTGTTTCCTCTAACAGTTACTGCCCTCATTAGTCAATCAATGATCAAAACTGATAAAAACTGAGGGAACAGTTGCCAACAGAGAAGGCAGTGAACACTTATGTGTAGACTCTCAGATACAGATCTGAGAGAAACTCTAAAATGTTAGTAAAATAATTCAAGGGCAAATTAAATGAGCAGTTGCTATTTATGAGCATCTTTCCACACTTCAAAATTCAAGCCAACACATCTGAAATTTATGCCACTGTTTTCTTTCTCCCTACCATTGCCACACTACTGAACCTGAGTGTGGTCCCACTGGGATAGAAAGATTACTTTCAGCACCTTACCTGATCAAAAAGGTCAGTACCATCTGATCCTGCTGCTCTCATAAGTTCATCTTCTCCACCAGGATGATACTCCATGTACGGGCTGACATTATAAACAAAGCCTACATCAAATAAGGAGAAATAATACCCTAAATGAACTTCTTACAAACTGTACAAAGTAGATGTTTCAATAAATTTCCCAAATACATCCCACGTAGAAGTACTAAGGATACAAATGGTCTGAGACTTCACCACACTTGCAAGCTAACAAGTCAGGCTGTTGGTTTCACGGGTCCTGGCAGAAGAAACAAGATCCCAGGTTAGAGACAAAGGAGAGCCGAGTACTTACACCAGCAGCGGCAACGAGAAGATTCAGCGTCTACATAAGTTTCCCAAACCCCAGTTCCCACAGAGCTATGTGAAGAGGGCCAGGTAGCAGCTGTACACTCAATGTGTTGCATGATAGAAAAGGAACCTTGAGCACAGGAAGCCCCGAACCTTTTATAAGGGGCAGTAAATGCACCTGCCCTTTGTTCTGGAGGGAGACATGATCTCTGTTTATACTGAACAGTAAACAAATCTCTCCTTTGCTCTAGAAGGAGACACTAGCTGTACCACTGAAGGATGACCACCACGCAAACATTTCTGAAAAGGTAGCTAGAACAAGACAGAGTCCATGCCTTGGCTTGCAAGATGTGCAGATGTGCAAAAGACCTATAAGAGAACTGCCTCCCAACATACAAAAAAATCATGAAACACTGAATTTAATGCTTTAGAAGTTCTCTCTCCTCCCATCCCTCTCCCCCCACCTCTCTCTCATATTATCACAGCATCCTCTGCTGCCCTGGCAGCAGAATCTGATGGAAAAGAATGGAGCTGCCATCCATAAATCAATCATGTCAGTCAAGGACGAGAGATGGGGACTGGGCCCCAGAGGCACACTCTGTGAAAGCACTTGTTCACGGAACCAAGATTACTGTTTAGATCTTAAGAATTGTTTCATCTTCCCCAAATAGTTATTTCATCTATTCACATATTTAACTATATTTTTGTCAGGGAACCACTGACAGAAACATTCCAGCCATGGCCAGGCAGGATAATAACCACTTGAGTGTTATCTCACATGGAACCCAGAACTGACAAGTTACTGCCAGCTGGAAGAATTCAGGAGAGGGCATAAGGGGTAAGGAGACACCCACCCATAATATATCCTGCCAACCTTCTAGAAACCCTTGCACTGGAAACCATCTTGACTGGGAGATGCGATCACAGGCACAAGTAAGATGATTGGCCAGAGACAACTTGGAAAACTAACCTTATTATCATAAACCCTGAGCCTGTGAGCCACATGGCAGAGCAGTTCTCCTGGGTCCTTTCACCCTGCTGCTCTCCCACCCAGGCTCCCCTTTCCAGTAACGTCTTTTGCTTTGTCAGTACATGTGTCTCCTTGGACAATTCATTCCCAAGTGTTAGACAACAGTCGACTCTTGGACCCTGGAAGGAGTGCACCTTCTGGTAACATTTTTACCTTTTAAGAAGAAGGAAGACTAGGAAGCAACAAATAGAGGAGAAGAGCTCACGGAATAGCCTTCCCAAGGAAGTGAACTTCTTTTAATCCTTTATTTGAAAACTAGATAGTAGACAAATCTAGCCTTTCAAGACACCTCAAGAGTGCATGGAGAACAACTGGTTTTCTTATTTCCAGGGCTAATCCTTCTTTATGTAATGACTTCCATGAATTTAAATAAACTCAGATAATTTAAGATGTTCATCCTATATAATCACCTTGGAAGGAAAGTAGTTAAATTTCAAACCCAAGAAAGGTACCTGCAGTTTCCCCACCAATTTAATTTTGGAAAATAACCAGCCAGTCTGAATTGCTTTATAAAATTAGTTAAAGGCAATTTAGGCAACAGAAAGAGGTAAATTCACAAAATCTCTCTTTCAGCAGTCCTCCAAATAAGTCAGGAAAATGGGGGAAAAAATACTGGTGACGCGCCCTCCTCTCTCCTTCCCCATAAACCTTTCCCAGCCAATTTAGAAGGAATTCTTGCTACTGTTTAATGCTCCAAAGTCCCACGGACCACAAATGTCTGAAGTAATGATTAGACTAAGAGTTATTCCCAACAGGTTTTTAAAGACAGAGAATGCATTCCAAACATTCAGAGTTCTAGTATTTCTCAGGAACATGAAATCTATAACACACAGTCATCTAACCTTCTGATGGAACTCCACGTGTTTCAGCGATAGCAGAGAGATGACCAGGCAGTTTAACAGCTGCCCCGATCCGCACAGAGGGCCCTGCGTTCTCCCACATGTGTTCTCGACTGCCTCCCAGTGCTTCAGATTGACCCTCATCCTCTCATAACCTACCATCCTTTTTGATGGACTCCAGACCTGAAGAACTTCTCATCCCCTTCAAATGGACAAAACTAGGAATGCTTATAAAATCCCTCACTGTGTGGAATTAAAGCCCAAGAAATGTTAGATCCAACCACATTTGGCAGTGTTAGTGATTTGCTAATTATGAGACTTTCAAACCTGTCCCAAAATGTGACAGGTGCATCTCCTCTGGTTCAGAGACTCTCTCTTCCCTCTTTTTCTTCCTCTCTCTTATTGCTTTCCATTTTTTTTTTTCTCAAAAGCATTTCCTACCAACTAAAACTTGGACCCCTGACTGTGGCAGAAGAAAACAACCACAAAGAACCTAGCTTGATGCTTTTCCTTCATGCTTTACTGTATTCTATTTGCACCATGGGATTCCCAAGTGGCTCAGCAGTAAAGGACCTGCCTGCCACTGCAGGCAGTGCAAGAGACTTGGGTTCAATTCCCGGGTCAGGAAAATCCCCTGGAGGAGTAAATGGCAACCCAGTCCAGTATTCGTGCCTGAAAAATCCCATGGCCTGCTGAAACTTTGGCCAATACTCTGGCCACCTCGTGCGAAGAGTTGACTCACTGGAAAAGACCTTGATGCTGGGAGGGATTGGAGGCAGGAGGAGCAGGGGACGACAGAGGACGAGATGGCTGGATGGCATCACCGACTCAATGGGCATGAGTTTGAGTAAACTCCGGGAGTTGATGATGGACAGGGAGGCCTGGCGCGCTGTGATTCATGGGGTCACAAAGAGTTGGACACGACTGAGCGACTGAACTGAAACAGCCCACCAATAAGGAGGGAACTGTATCTCCATGGCTCAGGCCACACACTGTAACTAATAAAGTTTCATCTTTTCTTTGTTCTATTTTATAAGTCAGGGAGTTTCAAAGTATGGTTGAGGGGCTCCCCCACAGCTCAAGACTCTTTCAGTGGTCCAAGATCAAAACTTTTTCACAGTAATATTAAGATGCTGCCTGCCTTTCTAAAAATTTCATTCTTTCACAAGTGCATAAGATTAAAAACAGAAGGGGATATCAGAATATAGTTGTCATCTGCAAAGCCACACATTAAAGATATCTGCCAACGTGTGAAACAATGCCACTTATTCACTATGTTTTGTTTTATAAAACATATTTTTCATGAAAATATTATTATTTATAATATACAGTAAATTTATATTTTTATTAATTTTAAAAATTCTTTCAATTTTTCAATTTTAATTTCTGAAGGGTAAACATCAATAGATATGAACCTCATAAACAAAAGTTCTTTGGGGTCCTCAATAATTTTTAAAGGAGTAAAGGGATCTTAAAACCAAGAAGTCTGAGAACTACCGCTACTGAGGAAAAGTGGTATTTTTATAATTAGATTTTAAAATAATTTTTGTTTTAAAATTCAAAAACAAATGTAACTCCAAAGCCCCACGTTACATTCATCCAACAAAAATTTATTTAATGTTTATCAAACATGTACAAAGTATTATGATACTATACTGCGGTATGCCTATGTATTACACTAATCACCACCGTTCATTTTGTTGGCTCTAAAATCAATGAAGGAAAACAAGGTGTGTTCACATAGTAAAATATGGCATATTTCACTGTATTCAATGCACAGATCCATTTTTGCAAGTATTGTAACTACTCTGCCCTCTAGTGTTCAGTAAAGAAATTGCACATTACTTTTATTTTACTTCAGAGATAAAATAATGAAACTATTTTGATATGCTTATCTATGAAATGAAATGAAACCATATATGATGTTTATTTAGTTCTAACAATTGCTGAGAGAAGATGTTTAATACACACAACAATGACTGTGAATTCGAATTTTTCTTTTGATTCTATTAATGTTTGCGACATATATTTTGAATCTGTTATTGGTTATAAACAGAGTTCCTAATGATCCTTTCAACACTACAAAATACTTTCATCTCTAGTAATATTCTTTGGTAACAGTTTTCATCTGATATCAATATAGCCCATCTTATTATAGTTACTGGTCTTTTTTTGGCCATACCACATGGCTTTAAGGATCAGAATTCCATGACGAGGGGTCAAACCTGGGCCCAGGGAATGAAAGCACCAAGTCCTAACCACTGAACCTTCATGGAATTCCATATATTTACTTTTTACATAGTATAGTTTCTCCTACACATTTATTTTCAACTCTTGTCTTTTATATTTGAAGCATCTCCCTCATTATGTAGTTGGGTCTTAATACACATATACACACAGAAAATCTCTATCTTTCAATAAGAATTTACATTTACACTTAATTACTGATGTGACTAAATTTAGAGCTACCATCTTATTAGCCGCCCTCTCCAGACCCAAGTTTCTTTTTTTTTTTTCCTCCAAGTTTTCTGATTGTCTCTATTCCTCTTTCAGTGACTTCTTTTGGGCTAACCAAAACTTTTTTTAGAATTTCATTTTATCTATGGGTTTTTACTATACCTCTTTGCACGATATTTTAAGAGACTGTTGTAGGCATTACTTACAATATATATCCTTAACTAGTTTACTTGAGTTAATGTTGTAACCCCTTCACATGTAATATAAGAACCATTTACCACACTACATTCCTGCCGCTTTAAGGAGCTCTACAACACAGTGTTATAGTTTTTGCTTGAAAAAGTCACATATATTTTAGAAGAAAAGGGGAAAAAAGACTAATCCTTGTATCCTCACACAGTTACTGTCTCCCAAAGATCTGAGTTTCCATCTGGTATCATTACCCTTTAAC